GGATGCCCCTGGGCTGGGGTGGTGCATGAGGGCATGCCTCTGTGGCCCCAGGCAGGGAGGGGATCAGGGTGCCTTTCGTCACTGAGGGTTACTGTTCTCCTTCAAAGGGAAGAGACAATGTGGCAAACAAGAACGCTGTCCCCAAAGACGTCCACGTCCTGATCCCTAGAACCTGTGAATGTGTTACCTCACATGGTAAAAACAAATTTGCAGATGTGATTAGCTTAAGAATTTTAAGGAGATGAGCCTGTATAATCCAGGTGAACCCAGTGTAAGCCCAAGGGTCCCTACAAGAAAAGACGGAGGCAGGAGGCTCAGAGTCAGAGAAAATGTGGCTACGGAAGCAGAAATCAGTGATGCAGTCACAGGCCAAGGAATGTAGGCACCTCTAGAAACTGGAAAAGGGAAGGGACAGGCTCTCCCCTGGAGCCTCCAGGAGGGGCACAACTCTGCCAACATCTTGATTTTAGCCCTATGACACCCACTGTGGACTTCTGACCCCCAGAAACATGAGATAATAAATCTGAGTTGTTTTAAGCCACTAAGTTGTGGCAATTAGTGGCAGTAGCAATAGGAAGATAACCCAGACAGCAAGAGCATGCTGTGGACTGAACTGTGTCCCCCTGAATTCCTATAATGAAGCCTTACCCATCAATATATGGTATTTGGAGATGGGACCATTGTTAGGATTAGACGTAGTCATGAGGGTGGGGCCCTCATGGTGGGATTAGCATCCTTCTAAGAAGAGATACCAGAGAGTTTGCTCTCCCTCCGTCCACTGTGAGGACACAGTAAGAAGGCAGCTGTCAGCAAGCCAGGAAGAGAACACTCACCAGAAGCCAACCATGCTGCCACTCCGATTTCAGATATCCAGACTCCAAAACCATGAGAAATAAATCTGTATTGTTTACATCATCCAGTCTATGGTAGTTTTTTAATGGCAGCCTAGCCTGTAGCTATGACCACACTTCAGGCCCAGGATCCTGGCTAGATGAGGAAAATCCAATGAGTCAGTATTCTTGAAGGCAAACCTGGTTCCAAGTCTATTAAACTGTGATAAGGCATCACAGAGAAATGGGTTCCATGTCCATTAGCAGCCTGGACAAGTCAGTGGACAAGTTGCCTCTTTAAGATGTGAAAAAATATACCACGTACCAAACTCTAAGAGTCATATTAAGAGCATTTTGCAAAGAATCAAGTGGTTTAAAGATGTACAGTATTGGCCGGGTGCAGTGGCTCACGCCTGTAATCCCAGCACTTTGGGAGGCCGAGCCAGGGGTGGATCACCTGAGGTCAGTAGTTTGAGACCAGCCTAACCAACATGGCGAAACCTCGTATCTACTAAAAACACAAAAATTAGCTGGGTATGGTGGCAGGTGCCTATAATCTCAGCTACTCGGGAGGCTGAGGCAGGAAAATCGCTTGAACCCAGGAGACAGAGGTTGCAGTGAGCAGAGATCGCACCACTGCACTCTAGCCTGGCTAACAGAGAGAAATTCCATCTAAAAAAAAAAATGTTCAGTATTTTTTTTGAGGCGGAGTCTCAATCTGTCACCCAGGCTGGAATGCAATGGCACAGTCTCAGCTCACTGCAACTTCCACCTCCCAGGTTCAAGCGATTCTCCTGCCTCAGCCTCCCAAGTAGCTGGGACTACAGGCGCATGCCGCCACACCCGGCTAATTTTTGTATTTTTAGTAGAGACGGGGTTTCGCCATGTTGGCCAGGCTGGTCTCGAACTCCTGACATCAGGTGATCAGCCCCCCACCTCAGCCTCCCAAAGTCCTGGGATTATAGGCATAAGTCACCGCGCCCGACCTGTTTTTATGCTGTCCATTTTTCCTAAATGGCAAGCACTTCCTTTCAGATGAGCATTCACCTCAACAGGCTCCGGTCAGGCCCAATTCTAATGTGAGAAGCCTGACCCCTCTCTGCTGGGCTGTAGTCCACTCTTGTATGCAGGATCCACGTGAGGGTCCACTCGTGACAGGCCACTCGTCAGCTCCAGCAAATGGCCAGATAAAGGTCAGCATGTGACTGGATCCAGGAGGAATGAGGGGAAAAGAGCCAGAGGTTAAGGCTTGGGTACGGGGTTATCAGCTCCTTACCTTCTCTTTATCCCCTTCCCCCTACTCCAAAGCTCCTGCAAGGGCAGGAGACACTCAGAGCTCCTCTGGGACAAAGATCACACTTCTCCAAGATGCTCCATGTAAACACTGGGGCCAAAGCCAGACGGACTGTGGCAGTGAGGAGCCCAGAGGCTCCTTGCCCTGCAGTACGGGATGGAGGAGGCAGGGCAGGAACAGGCCCAAACGCACAAGACAGCAATTCCCAGCCATGTCACCAAAAAGATGCCTTGTGACACTTTTCCCACCCCACCCCAAACACAACATTTGAAAGATCTGAGCTATTATATAAATAATGAATCTTCCCATACTTTGATTACTCCAATGCTGATTAATCCTCCTAGGCAGGGTTGCTCGTTAGCATCAGAGCCCGTGCTGCACCACCAAACTGACTCTGAACCCTAGGAATCCAGCCCCAAATCAAAGTCTGCATCGGAGTGATCACATTTTGCCTTAGGGCACACACTGCAAAAAGCTTAAGGAACCCTGTCGTTACTTCTTTGAGCTCCTCAATATCTACTGATGCCTGGGTGGAAATTCCAAATACAAAACAGAACCACCTGGGTCATGGCTTATGGGAAGGGTCTAACTAGGAGGTGGCGATTCCTGGCCCATCCTAACCAAAATTTGAGTTGGTTGAACCCTACCACGTACAAGTCACCACAGCATCCCTGAGTCCAGCCTGGCACCAACTCATGCCCACCTCCACGCACTGAAAGGCCCATGCCTCCTCTTGGGTTCCTCCTCCCTTCACTTCCTGCTCAAGCTCTCCCTGCCTCCCAGGAAGCAGGGGCCTTCTTCAGGGCTCTCTGACTACCCCCACAGAGAGGTACCCCAGCCCCCCTCCACTCAACACCCCCCAGTAGATTTTATTTATCTTGCAAGCCAGCACTAAACCCTAAATAACTGGCTTCATGTTTCTGGGCCACAAGTCAAGGCCAACCACAGGCCAAACAAAACAGAAGTCATCTGGGAAGTTCTGAATCTACAAAATCCATGAAGCTGGAGCCCAGCACAGACCCATAGAGCCCCAAAGCCCGAAATCAGACAGCAAGGAACAGGCAGCTCTGGTCACTGGCCTCCCTCAGCCTTCGGGACAGTGTCTGCCACCAGAAAGAAACCACACTTGCCAGCCTGTTAACCCACCTATGCTGGGGAAACAAAAACGACTCCTGCCTGAGCCCCTGTCCAGTCTGGTGGGGAAGGCAGGGCAAAGAGCTATCAGGAGCATTGTAGGGGGCCCTGACAGAGGCTCCAACTGCTAAGATGGCACTGAGAGGTGGAGGCAACCTACTGTCCATCAACAGCTGAATGGATCAACAAAACGTGGTCTATCCAAACAGTGGGATAGTATCCAGCCATGAAAAAGCACGAAATCTCGATATGCACCACAAATGAGTGGACCTAAAAAACGCTACGTTAAGTGAAATAAGCCAGTCGCAGAAGGGCAAATCCTGTATGATTCCGTGTCTGTGAGGTACTGAGATCAGGCAAAGTCATAGAGTCAGAAGAGAAGTAGCCAGGAGCTGCAGGTATGCGGATGAGGAGCTATTGCTTAATGGGTACAGAGTTTATGTTGGGGATGACAAAACATTTTGGGTATAGTGATGATGGTTACACGACACTGTGAATGTACTTAATGCCACTAAATTGTGCACTTATAGTCGAAATGATAACTATTATGTATATTTTACCATGATTTTTTAAAGTGTTATAAAGAAAAAAAAAACAGGGCACTGGGGAGGCAACAACCAATTCTTTCTGGGGAGGGAGGAACTGAGGAGCTATGATGGGTAGGTAGCATTTCAGCCACCCGTGGGAGACGAAGGTGAGGCAGAGGTGGGCCAATCTCTCCCTCTTGCTCACAGCTCAGGTTCAGAGAGCCGGGAGGAGGGGAAGGCGGCCTTTGTGGGGGGTGGCTAAGGCTCACTCTCCACTAAATCACTCTGCTCTTCCAGAATACTCCATGGCTCCCTCTTCCTACCACCCATCCAAACTCCTCACTCCAGAACATTCTAGGTCTAGAGCCCATCTACACTTCCTTCCAGGCCGAACCGACACAACACTCTAAAACTGTGGGGCCCCTGCTCACAGGGAACTGCATCCCCACCCGTGTCTGCACAGCCACTCCTTCCACTGGAGTCCAATTCTTCCACTTCACCCTCCTGTGTCTCCCATGCCCTTTAATATCTTGAAACCCACCTTCCCGGAAGACTCATGAGTAGTCCCTTTCTTTTTCCTGCCTCTCTATTTTCTCACATGTTCTGTAATGAAAAGGCTGCATGGCGCGGTGAAGAAGAGCACACCCTCTGGGAGACACTCCCCATACTCCAAGCCTGAATCTGCCGACAACTAGCTATGCAACCAGTTTACTTAATCTGTGCCTCAATTCTCCTGCCTGTGAAAATGGGAAAATAACAGCACTCACTGCATAGGACTATGACAATTAAAATGAGAAAATGCACATAAAGTTTTTGACACATGAGTGCTTAACAAACAGTAACTATCATTATAATAACATATTGCTTTGGTATTAAACTTTTTTTGAGACAGGGTCTCGCTCTGTCACCCAGAATGGAGTACAGTGGCACAATCATAACTCATTATAACCTCAAACTCCTGGGCTCGAGAGATCCTCACACCTCAGCCTCCTGAGTAGCTGGGACTACAGGTGCACATCACCACGCCTAGCTATTTTTTCTTATTTTTTGTAGAAACAGGGTCTTGCTATGTTGCCCAGGCTGGCCTCAAACTCCTGGCCTCAAGCAATTCTCCCACCTCAGCCTTCCCGAAGTGCTGGGATTATAAGTATGAGCCACCCTGCCCGGCCTAAACTTTATTTTTTAAAAATTTTGCATGTTAGCAGTTTGGCAGTCCCATGGATCTGTCTCTTGCTTAAACAGTGTTTAGAGGAACAGATCCCGGGGACTCTTTTTTCCAGCCTCCAACCGCCCTCTGATTTCCTCTCTACTTGCAACCTCCGGGACCATCTTCTCGCCATCTCCTGCTTCTGGGGACCTGCTAACACCGTTTTTGTGGTTAGCTCCTTTTTACTGACCAGCCATGAGCTCCCAGATTCGCCAGAATTATTCCACCGACGTGGAGGCAGCCATCGACCGCCTGGTCCATGTGTACCTGCAGGCCTCCTACACCCACCTCTCTCTCACTGGGCTACTATTTTGACCACGATGATGTGGCTCGGAAAGGCATGAGCCACTTCTTCCACGAAATGGCCGAGGAGAAGCACGAGGGCTACGAGTGTCTCCTGAAGATGCAAAACCAGCGTGGCGGACGCGCCCTCTTCCAGGACATCAAGAAGCCAACTCAAGATGAGTGGGGTAAAACCCTGGACACCATGGAAACCGCCATGGCCCTGGAGAAAAGTCTGAACCAGGCCCTTTTGGATCTTCATGCCCTGGGTTCTGCCCGCACAGACCCCCATCTCTGTGACTTCCTGGAGAGTCACTTCCTAGATGAAGAAGTGAAAATCATCAAGAAGATGGGTGACCACCTGACCAACCTCCACAGGCTGGGCAGGGCCAGTACCTCTTCGAAAGGCTCACTCTCAAGCATGACTAAGAGCCTACTGAGCCCAGCGACTTCTGAAGGGCCCTTGCAAAATAACAGGGCTTCTCCCTAAGCCTCTCCCTCCAGCCACTAGGCAGCTTTCTAACTATCCTAACAAGCCTTGGACCAAGTGGAAATAAAGCTATTTGAAGAAAAAAAAAATTTGCATGTTAGCTCAATCATCTTTAAATGCCTTATTTAACTGGAAAACTAAATATCTTATCGCCTATCTCTCTGCTTTTCTCTATTTTTCAAATGTTCACTCTCTAGCAAAATGATTTTTGTATTTTAAAATTGTATTTCAAAGAAATTTTTAATGTTTTAATTGAAAAATATTTGTATAATTTTTGAAATGATTTTTCTAAAATCCTCACCTCCCTAAAAGTTATTCATAAGAGCCGGCTCCTGCATGCATGCCTCTCTATTCAGAATCTCCTCAATGCTTACAAATTCTATTTGTCTCATACTGATTTTTGTTATACTGTAGGAGAGGACCAGTGGCTTTTTATGCCACTGAGCCCCTGTAAATGCAGGGCACCCCGCGTTTGCCAGGCATTCTCTGGGGATGACCCACTGACCTCTTGCCACCCCCCACGGCCCTCCTTCAGGCCCTGGGCTCCCTCGGCTGTCCAAATTTGTAAAAGCCTGTGCGGTTCTTAGCCAGCAGGGGCAGAGCCAGATTCAAAGCCCACAGCCGGGCACCAGGGCTGTGTCTAGGACACTTCATCCACGCTGGGCGCATCAGCCCGCTCTGGCGTGCGGGATGTCAATCTCAGGCCGGCTGCCCTCCTCCCGGAGACTCCCGTGCCGGCCCAGTGGGACGCTTGCCTCTTTCACTTGAGCCTTGACAGCAGGCGCAGATTTAATGATTGGAAAGCACTTCGAAAATCCAGAGTGCTCCATAATTGCCAACTCATAATCCTCAAATTGTTCTCTGCGTGGCTGCAGGAGGCGAAGCCTCTGTGCTTGGAGGCTTTGCTTACTTAGCATGGCTCTCACATCGAACCAGGCGGGGCAGAAGCAAAGAGGAGCTCTACCCAACAGGAAGCCCCTCCTAAGACTCACCACGCCTGCTGGGGAGCAAGGCTTCTCAAGTATGAGCCAGATAAAGGGGGGCTGGATGATGATGCAGATTTGTGAGCCCTTCCATACTGACTGATTCAGAATCTCTGACGAGTGTGACCCTGGGAATCTGAATTTTAATAAACTCCCCACTGAGACAACTCTTAATCATACTCTAGTTCAAGGACTGACAATTTGAAGGTAAGTATGTGGGTTTGGGGTCAGGTGGGCCTGGGTTCAAATCTCGGCTCTGATTCTTAATGTCTGAGACTTCCGAAAGTTACTTAATGCTAGGCCCATGAGATGCTGAAAGATACTCCCTGAAAAAAATAAATTTTTTGAGATTCACAGTCAGATATGTTTGCGAGACCCAACACTCCACATCTTCCTGGGAGCTTTACAGCACACATGAGTGTGTTAAACGGGCTGAAAGTAGGACTCTGCTTAGCCCAGCTCTTCCCCAAACTGTCTAACCAAGGAAGCTCCTTTTTACCATTCATCCAGGAACATCTTACTATCTCGAAGGACAAAGCTAGTGAAACTCCTTTCTAGGAAAAGGGAAGTCTAAGGAGTGATGGACGGTGTTGTAAGGAGTCCCCAGGGAGCTCCTGCAGGAAGTAGGCTCTGGCTGGGGGGCAGCTGGGAGCCCTGTTCCTCGTGTGCTGGTGTCTTGGGCAAGGCTGGCTCAGTTTTGCTGCTCCACTGCCTGGCACGGACGCATCACAATAGCGAGGTCACCTTCCTGCTTCGGGTAATTTCCCTCAGAGGCAAGACAGATCCATTTTTAACAGCTCTTCATTTCAGCAGAGAATGCCCTCCTGCCTCTGGTGGAGGCTGGGGACCCAGACGGGAAGGAAAGCTTTGTTCTTCTGACCAGTGCTGACAGTTTAATTAAACCCAGCTTGAGACAGGGTCGATAGGGTCAGGCATTCTTCAACAGGACTCCTGTGAATCTCACATCCACGCCTCTCCACCCACCAGGGCCCTGTTAATGAGTTATGGTGGTCCTTACGGCAGGGATATAAATAAAGGGAGATAAATGCCCTGCGCTGCCCTTAATCACCCACCCCCACCCCTTCCAGGCCCAGCAGAGACACAAAAGGTCAGTCTTGTCGGGACACATATCGGTTTCAAGGCTAAAAGGAACCCCAGAGGAACTGGGCTTCTAGAAGCGGCTTCTGGATGAGGAGGGAATCAGCCAGAGCAGGGCGGCACAGCAGCGGAGATCCTCCCCAGATCGGAGGCCAAGGTGGTGGCATGCGCGGTGGGCAGACACCCTGCTCCCCATCCAAACCTGGTAAAGACTGAGTTTCGGTGCTGTAAGAAGCAATCAGGTTTCCAGCATATCCCTCTAGCCCTCAACTTAACACCTGTGTGTGTTCATGGAAGCAACATCACCACATCCTCTGAGGGTTCACTGTCAGGTGATGGAGCTGTCCCCAAACCCAGGTAACCTGCTACCAGGGTATACCTGTCCCCCACAGGAGATATAGGTCCAGCCAGTACAGCACCTGCCCCCACCTGCTCCAACCTGCTGGTAGGTCAGAGGGTGGCCAGCTGCTCTCAAAGAGCACCGATGATAGACCTGTCACCTCCTGAGAGGCTACCACCTCCCTATCTATCTTACACAGACACCACTCCAAGGGTTCATAGTACCCAACACAGAGCCTGGCCCACAGGGGACCCTCAGGAACCATTGGATCAGTGGGTGGGTGAGTCGCAGATGGAAGGTGAGGAGGAGTAAATAAAGGGGTGGAGGAAGGTGGGAGAAATTGGCGTATAGAAGGGTGTCTGGGTTTATGGGTAGGTTGGTAGATGAATAAGTAGGGGGAAGGGGAGGGCTTATGGTGGGGGTGGAAGAGTGGATGAATAGGCAGGTGGTGGGTGGGTAGTCAGGGCTGGATGGGAGAATGGATGGGAGGGGATGGGGGATGAAGGGATAGGTCAGGAGTAGGGAGAAAGATGGGTGGGTTGACTGATGGGTTGGTAGATGGTGGGAGGGTAGATGGAGGTGAAGAGCAGTGGTTGATAACTAGGTGGATGGACAGACGGGTGGTTGGGTGGAGAAGGTGCGTGGGTGAGGCAGGTCAGGGGTGCTATGTAAGCATGAGCTTTACTGTCAGATGCGTTCACATTTGGCTTAGCCCCTTGGGTGTGTCACATGCCCCTGAGCTTGCATTTCTTCATCTGTAAAATGTGGGACATGCTGACCTCATAGAGATGTTCTGATGATGAAATCAGGTATATTTGTAAGTTGCTCAGCATGAACCTGGCACACAATAACCTTCCATTCTTTCTAACTGTCACTATGACGACTACAGTCCCTGAGGCCTTTCATGAGGCCCTGAGGTGACAGGAGAGTGTGGCAGTGAAGGATGGGACAGGCTCACTTCTGCAGTGGGGAGGGGGAGGGGTCGTGCTCTTTTCTGAAGAGGTGTGAGTGCTGCTGTGCAGAACCCCAGGCCCACCCGCAATGGGGGCATCCCTGAGGAAGTGCAGAATGCATCTGGAATTTCAGGGCACTGAGAAACGCCTCCAGGGCAGCATCACCTACTTGCTCCACATTCCCCCTCCCCAGCCTGCTCGGGAAAGTGCCCAAGAGGACAGAAGGCAGATCCCCCACATCCTCAGCCGAGGCTCTGTGCCAGGGCCAAGGCCCTCGTGCCCGCACATGCCAGCCTTCCTCCACAGCCTCCTCAGGGCGTCTCTGCAGGGGCACCTAAGCCCCTTGAGAAAAAAACAAAAAAACCCTGTTGGAGGAAGGCCCCTGCAAAATGAAGGGATGGTTGTGAGTTAAGAGTGGTGAGGCTGAGCTGCCACAAGGGATGGGGGAAGCTGGCATCAACACGGGACACAGATCTAGGAGCAGGTCACCCTGGGGCTGTACCACCCTCCAAAGCAGCCCCAATGTGGACTCACTTGACATTATTTCCTGGGTACCTCTGGCGTGCCAGAGTGTTCACTTCTGACACAGGAGTGTCGCAGCTCTCTTTAACCCTCACGTCAGCCCCTTGAGGCAGCCCGCCCTTATCTGTATCTCACAGAAGAGCAAACAGGCTGGGTAAAGGAAGCGCTGCAGCATCGCATCCTCGCCTTTCCCTTCACCTCAGACCACAGGGGCTTTTCAGCTCTATTTTAAAACCAGGAGGTTCCCCACCATAAGCATAAAACACATGCTTCTTAGAGAACATCTGGGAAACAGAAGAGGAAAAAGCCACCCACAGACAATCCCTGCTGGCATTTTCCAGGCATTTTTTTCTTGCATTATTTAGAGTGATTTATTGAGTGGTCATATTGTCAATGCCATGTGGAATCCTGGCTTTTGATATCAAACACATATATCTGCATTACTTGACATCTTTCATAAAGGCCATTTTTGATGACTATAAATATTCCATCAAGTAGATGCATCATCATTTACTTCTTCATGCCTCCAATGTTGGACATGCATGTTATTTCCATGTTCTTTTTATTAGTCTATATTTCAATATTCTAAATAATACGGCAATGAACATGTCCGTGCTCATGTTTTACTATTTCCTTAGGGCAGATCCCCAAATATGAAATTCCTAGGTCAAGGTTTAAGGCCATTTTCAGGCTCCTGAGAGTCCCTGGAAGGCTTGGTGTCTAATTCCAACCCTATCATCAAGCTGCTCTGTGGTCCAAGGCAAATCACTTGTCTGAGCCATAGATTCTGCATAGGAAAGAAATGGACAGACTAACCCCACACACCAGGGGAAATATTAGTGCAGAATAACCCCTAGCAGGATTTTAAATTCTGGAGGCCACACAGACAAAATAAACTGAAATGTGGGCTGAACCACTACCTACAGACTTGGGTGACCATGCCTTACCCCGCACATTTGGTCTCTCTCAAACCCATTTTCATGCTGATTTAGCATAACAGACTGTGCATGAAAGTCCTTAATTTGCTCCAGATGGGAAGGATTAGTAACAGATCCCTCCAAAGCAAAGGGGAGGTCAACAGGTGAGAGACCAGGAATGCCAGGCACTGCTTTTTAAGGGAATAGGTCCCACCTCCAGCTCTGGAGGCAGGGCAGGCACCATAGTATCACTGCACCAGCGGATC